TAGGCTGTCAAGCGGGAGACACGGGTTCGAATCCTTGGGAAGGCTAGTAATTTTTTCATTTGCCTCCGGATGTAGAAACCTTGCTGAAAATAGCATAGCCATTGAACCAAAATGACATCTGCAAATTTCACGTCGCTACTGTTCATAATCTTGGAATGGTTCTTATGATAGTCAGACGAACACACACAGTTTCTGTTTAATTGTGTGTGTGTGGGTATGTGTGTGGGTATTTGTGTATATAAAGATTGCAACATTGTATCATTTATGTACATGACCCACCCACGCCTTACTACCGGTTACCGTTTTGTGGTTTCCTATTAAAACTGTGCTCTATGGCTATGAGGTTGAACGTGGTTTCTGGGATTTGTAGCTGTTTGATTCTCATCCTTGAGATGTTAATTCTGCAGATTGCAAGTCTCGATGGGATAAACTTAAAACACTCATGCACATACGCGCAGTGTTACCACTTTTCTTTTACAAAAAACATCCAAAACGGAGTCAACAAATATCTAAAAACATCTAAATTTGCGTTAAAAACATTTTTAAAAAAAACATCCAAATGGAAAGAATTAGAAATTACATAGCTATTGATATGACTTATCCTATACAATCATGTGCTCATCTTCACTGTCTGCCTCACACACTCCACAGGATAAACTTAGCTTGGATGATGAAGTTTAAGCTTCAGATCCAAAATGACTGGTATGCTTCAGCTGTTCCAATTTCTTTTAATACACCATCAGGGAGCTGATAAAAAAAAACAAAAAAACTGACAATTGGAACAGCATTTTCCTACTCTCATCAGGCCGAATTTTATTGTCAAGATTTGTTATAATTCATAGCACTGAAAACTCTTTCTACGTCGGCATCTGAGTTGGGTAGTATCAGAACTCATAGTGGTGTGGAACCATCATTCAAGGCTGTATATAATGTATTATATTGCTGTTGTCTCACAAATGATTTAGAAAACCAGGTATGTGTTTCAGCAATAAGGTATTCCAAATTCCTTGTTAAACATTCAGATGAAGCATGTGATAATGCTAGCTGCAATGAATGACACACAATTTTATAAGTATTACCGATGGGATAGCTTCCTTCAACTTGGCATAAACGCCATTGTTTATACCAACCATCAACGAGGCATTATCGGTACCAATTGCAGCCAAATTCTTCAAGTCTGTTTGCTGATTAAAAGTTTCTTCAATTCCTGAACTATACTTTCTGCATCACACTTTTCCAATTAAACTAGTTCAAGATATGTAAAAACCACTTGGTATTGTTGCTGTAATACATAATACACACACCAAGCACTTTCAGTACCGAAATATCATTTGATTCGTCTAATAATAAACTATAATTATTTGTAGAAATGTCACTGATCAAATCTTTTTCGAAGTGAGAAAATAAAGTTTCTTATGATATGTGTACACTTGCTGCGATGCATTTTCACATCATCCATAACTTTACTGTCAGAAATAGTATTTTTAAATAAATCAATTAAATGGTCACAGTTTAAAATTGCACAGTGACAACTTAAAAACATTGCGACCGATCCTTAAACTTTTGATGATTCATTTATCAGTGTTGTTCTGAAAACAGATGTCAGCGGTGTAATATCTTTGAATGGAACTGCAGTTTTATGCTGTTTAGTTTCTGCATGACTCTTTTAGTCTTGTATTTTTGCAATAATTTCATTTTTGCAGTACTTACAACGAACCTTGGTCATATCCCCAGGAACTGCCATTACTCAGTCTTTAATTTTGTCATGCAACCACTCTTTCCGAAATTTATGCTCATACTTGGCATGTTAAAACGTTTTTTCAAAGTGAAAGTCACATATGAAGGTGAGCAATCATTTTTTTTTAATCACATGGAAAAGAAACACAATGTCAGCACAGTGAGGATACAGTTTAAACAAAGTTAATATGATTTACGCGCGCTTTTAATTAATCAGTACCGGGGCGGCCAGATATTTGAGCGTTGACCCTAGTGAGAGTTCAAAGTTTAGGTAATCGTAATTGTCACAAAGTACGTACAAAAATATTGTAGCACACATTTTACACAGTTAATATTAAACTGACACTGAAAGAAGAAAAAAACTTTAAAATATCAAACTCCAAATGAAAAACTTCTAGAAAAACATCTACCATCTAAACGTCAAAAACACCATCTAAATGAAAAGGAAAACATATAAATCTGGATGTAAAACATCCAAAGTGGCAACACTGCCTACGCGCGTGTGCGCACACACATGCCCACATATACTACTCACTCATACACACATAACACACACTGTATGTTCTGTTAACATTCTCTAGCTTGCTTATCAATAAACAGCACAAATCAGATCTCAAACTGAACAGTGCACATTGATATCTGAATCGGAACCTTCATCTTTCAGTGTGCAGCTACTTCAAAATCTCTGAGAACAACTGGAATTGTGTGCGAATTCGAACATTCATTTCGTGCATAGACTCTACAACATCTTACGCCTTCACACATGTTATTCCCATTCTGATAATAGAATTCAGTAGGCTATCTCTACATGTGCCCCGGCATGTACCGTTTGCACTGTTGGTGTGAGACAGCGATACGCTTTTGTATATATTATGTCATCTCACCAAATATTACGATAGTTGGGAGTCGTAACATGCTAAACACAATGATTCCCGTAATTGTTCTTTTTATACTTCCGTGCTGGTGTTTTCGTTGTCTGGTTTCATTTATGATGGCTATAGCATAAGTTAACATTATGAGAGGTAGTTTTACTTTTATCACCATCATCGTCATCATCATCTTATCGTTATCATCCTTTTGTTTGGTTATACAGTATACAGGTCAGGCGATCTGTTCTTCCACTGCGTTTCATGTTTCATGAATATAATTCATTCCACACCTTTAGCCTCTCTAATTGATATTCGTCTTAGGTTACTGTAACTTTTTTTCTTGTTACATTCCTCAAAGGTCGTGGGTATTTAGCGTACCCTGGAATTTTAGTTTTTTTTTTTTTTAGCGTCCATTGCATTTTTTGTTTTCTTTCTTGGAAATGCTGGTGTTTTGGGAAATGAACAGCCGGACAGACTGACTGGTTCTGCAGAACCTGGTGTTTGATTAAGGAGGTCAAGAGAAACTAAAACTAATGTTAAAACTTACAATTTTTAATTCTAATGTCAAATCAGTACTGTTGTATGAAGCGGAAACATAGAGAACAACTATGGCAATTATTAACAAACTGCAAACATTAATAAACTGGAGCCTGCGCAAAATAAAAGGAATTAAATGGTATGAAAACATCACTAATCAAGAGCTTTGTGAAAGAGCTAAACAAATTCCAGTAGGCCAAGAGGTGAAGACAAGACGCTGGCGTTGGATAGGACACACATTAAGACAACCTGAGAACAATATAACAAGAATGGTTTTGCACTTGGAACGCACAAGAGCATAGAAATAAAGGAAGACCAAATACACACGGAGAAGGAAGCTAGAGAGAGAAATTAGGAAGATGAGGAGGACATGGGAAGAGCTGCATACGATAGCGAAGGATAGAACGACTTGGCGTGAGTTGGTTGAGGTCCTGTGCTCCACTAGTGGTTGGAAATGCAGAAGGACGAAAAAGAAACAATCGACTAGACCAGTGGTAGGCAAACCCCTTAGCCGAAAGAGCCAAAAATCAGCAGCAGGACGATAAAAAAAATTTTAGACAGCTAAATTTCTTTTCTAAAACCTGTCATGAACCATGTTTTTCGGAGTCAAAACCGATTTTTGGCCGACTAGCCGAGCCGCCCAGAAATCGCTAAATAGCCGAATGCGGCTCGCGAGCCGCGATTTGCCGATCATTGGACTAGAACACTGCCGTCTAGAGGAAAACGTGCACGGGGATTTGGTCTACACTCAGAGGAAAATCAGACGGGCTGTTACCAGGCTGGCACTAGTAATGTCGGGTTAGAATTGACGAAGATGTGACCGGGGCGCTTCTGGTGATGTCCAAGATGTCGCTTCTTTACTCAACTAAACTCAGTTTATAGTGGTTGTTATCTTAACTCTGATCGCAGTAGCTGTTATCTTTACTTCTGTCTCCAGCGGTTGTTACTTAGACACAGTCTTCAGCAGTCTTTACTTCAGCACTGTCTCCAGTAGTTGTTTCTTTAACTCTCTCTGTAGCAGTGTTAACTGTCAGCAGTGGTAGTTATTTTAACTCTTTTTAATTGCTACTTTAACTGCCTCCCAAGAAATATTTAATTTAAAATGTAACCCTGTCTCTAGAAATTGCCCTTTTAAAAAATTTACAGTGGAAATACATATATGTGTGTGTGTGTGTGTGCGTGCGTTGCTTGCTTGCGTGCGTACGTGCGTGAGTGCGTGTGTGCGCGTTTGTGTGTGTGTATGTGTAACATTTAGTTTATGTCATTGAATATTATTAAAGCTGTGAAAAGATGCATTTTTATTAAACAAAATATTTCTTTCAAGAATTTTTCCTTCATTTCACTCTTATGTTACCGTAACCTTACGGGAAGCAAGGGGTAGTAACATTTTTAGGAATGTCTTAAGAGACGACTGTGAGCTGGGTTTGGCGTAGAGTTGGCTAACCTATCCTGTCTAAAGAAAAGTCACCAAAACCAACCAACCGTAGTAAAGTCAAAAAGAGAAACAAGAAATACCAGCCAGCAAAGATGGGGAGAGGCCGTTCTATTAGAACAATGACGAGATAGTGCGGAGAAAGCTGAAAGAAGTCCGGATCGTCGACGTAGCTCTTTTTACCTACGGGAAATTGATCTAGAAATTGAAGTTTAAAAAAAAAGATACGACTTGCTGCATGCAGTATCAAAGTATAGAATCACTTTGCGTGTGCTCGTTGAGGGCCTATGCTCCATTAGTGGATACTAGACAGGAGATTTAACTTTGTCTAATATTTTTCTAACCGCCTACATTTTGATCTGGTGTCCATAGAAGTTCAGTTGTGAAAATAATAAACTCCATTGTGGCTTTTTACAATCCAACAGGATGACGTTGGCCTAAGTACAGTGGTTGGTTCTGCCATTTACAATGTCATGTTTGTCATCAGTGTTTGCGGATTTGCTGCTGGAACGGTTAGTAATTTTAAGTTATTCGCTTTTTTTTTAAAACCGTTTACTAGTTTCAGTAAGTTTTCAGTAAGTTTTTGTATTTTTTTAACTTGATATTTGTTCCTTTTTATTTCTTGTTCATGTTTATTAATTTACCAAGTTGTATTTTTTTTTTTAGTAAAGATTATTTGTTATTAACATTATTATCTTCGTTTCAAGTTTGTATTCCTAAGTATTTCAATAGCTGTATTTTCCCTTTAATGATTTTTTAATGCACTTTCTTAGGTCCTTTTTATGCATTTTGGGGGGTCTTTTTGTGCACTTTTTGGGTCTGTTTGAAGGTGATTAATTAAATACATCGGTTCTCGCTAGATAAAATTATAAAAGCCTTGAATTAAATAAAAATGAACCAGGTACCAGCTCGACTAGCTCCGGCCAACCCATCGATGTCATCTACAAACCTTAAGTTTGTTATAGTTCGACCTCCTATACTAACTGTTCCATGGTGTTGTTCTAGGACATCAGTCATAATTCTTTCTAAAAATATATTAAACAGTGTTGGAGAGAGGAGGCAGCCCTGACGGACTCCTACTGTTGTTCGGAACCAGCTTCCTATTTGTCCATTCAGAGTGACAGCACTGCTGGCCTTGGCATAGAGATGTTCTATACGACGTATGAGGGTTTTACCCATATTGTACTTTTTGATAGTATCCCAAAGTGCTGCATGCCATACAAAGGCCTTTTTGAAATCAATGAACACATGGTGTAGATTTGTGCGTGCGTGTGTATGTGTGTGTGTGTGTGTGTGTGTGTGTGTGCTGGCGGAATTGCTCAAATAATATGCATAGATTCAATCAATCAGGTGCCGTCTCCACAATGAAGGTTGGCTGCAATGGATCTCCAACAAGCCCTGTCTCTTGCCCTTGATGTACACTCACTCATACTGCTGTTCGTCCACATCTCTTGATGTTATCCTCCCACTTGTAACGCTGTCTGCCTCTTGCTCGCCTACCTTGAACCTTTACCTCTAGGATGATCTTTACAATACTGTTATGTCTTTTAATATGGCCAAAATATTTCACTTGTCTCTTTTTTATTTCACCTAGCAACTCTCTTTTCATTCCCAATTTCCTCAGTACCTCCAGTTGTTTGTTCATTGTCCATGTCTCTGTGCCATACAGTAAGGTTGAGAATACATAACATTTGACAATTCTCATTTTTAATGTATTGCTTATTTCTCTTGATGTCAGTAGCTTTTGCATGTTGTTAAAAATGTTTTTGGCCATCCCTATTTTTTTCTTGACTTCTGTTTCACTTCTGCCGTCACATGTTATAAGAAATTTTTAACTTGTTCCAATTTCACCCCGTTCACTGTGATATTCATTGTTAGCTGATTATTTTCTTTGCTAAATATCATGGTTTTTGTCTTATTCAAATTAATATCTAATCCAAATTCTGCACTCCTTCTGTTTACTTGCTCCACTAGGTCTTGCAACTCCTGCTCACTCTCTGCTAGCAACACTGTGTCGTCAGCATATCTCAAATTGTTTATTATTCTAACCATTGACGTGCATAGATTAAATATCTGTTAACAGTGCTTCTTCCAGCATGAAAACCTGCCTGTTCCTCTGCTATGATCTCTGCGTGTGGCTTAATCTATTTAGGAGTATCTTGAGCATGACTTTACTGGGATGACTGATGAGACTTAAAGTCCTATAATTTTGACATTGTTGTGAATCCCCCCTTTTTTTTGGGGGGGGGGGGGGTGGTAATGATGAAGGATTTGGTCCAAAGAGATGACCATTCACCAGTCTTCCAAATTTTGTTACAGATTTCAGTGAGGATGTCGATGACGTCCTCCCCCCCTCACCCGGGATATTGTCGAATCTCCCAGCTTTCCCATTTTGCTTTTAGTTCTGATGGCCAATTCTACTTCATACCAAAGTATGGAGAAGCTGTCATCTTCCTGTGCTTGGCTGTTGTGAAGGATGTCGTTGTTGCTATTTGTTTGTTCGTTATACAGGCTCGAACAGTATTCAGACCATCTATTTAGGATGTCATTACTTTCTGTGAGTAGGTTACCTTTCGTGTCTATGATGGCGTTATTTCTTTACGTTTTATATCGATTGATGTTTGAAATTATGCTAAACATTTTTTTTACTTTTTTTCAACTTGTAAGTCATTTTTTTTTCTGCACATCTGCTTTCTATCCAACTTTATTTTGCCTCTCGCATGTCTTTTCTGAACTGAATATTTATCTCTCTATACTTGTCTGCTAGTTAAGGAATATGCCTTTCTTGAGGTGCCTTTGCTGGTCACACATGTTAAGAATTTCCTGAGTGATCCATGGTTGCTTTTTTTTTTTTTTTTTTTTTTTTTCGTTTTTTTTTTTTTTTTTTTTGGTGTATCCCAAGTTTCTTGTGTTGTTTCATTTTTTTTGGGTAGGAGGGGGGAATGAATTCATTTGTTAGTATTTTTATGCTGTTTATATTGTTCATCAGAGGAACAAACTTTCCAGCAATTCTGACTCTACAATTTTCCACCACAACTGGATCCTTTTGTTGGTTAATGTCCTATTTCAGTCTTATGGTCTTGGCACGATTTAAACGTCTGAGGTGGATTCTAAAATTTAGCAGCATCATGTTGTGGTCACTTTTTATATCAGCTCCTGGATAGCTCCTTGTCTTCGCTTTGTTTATCCCAGATTTAAAACGTTTGTGTACTAGTATGTAGTCAATTTGGTTGTGATTTTCGCCATTTGGTGAGTGCCATGTCCAAATTCTTGATGCCTTGTGCTTGTGTCATGTGTTAGCTAAGAGGAGGTTGTTAAATTTGCAAAATTCCAGTAGTCTGAATCCTCTCTCATTGGTGATTTTGTTGCAGAAAGGTCCACATGAGTCTTTTCAGTCTGCCTGCGCATCTGTTCCTACCTTAGCATTCCAATCTCCCAGGATTATCAATACATCTTTTTTTGGTATTTTGTCAATAATATTTTGGAGTTGGTTATAGAAAATCTCAATAAAGTTGTCATCGTAGTCTGTAGTTGGAGAATAGACTTGTATGACCGTAATATTGAAAGGGGTTACATTTAAGCGTACTGATAGGAGTCTGCTCTAGACAAAGTTGCATCCAATAATTGTGTTTCTAATATTCTTATGCACAAAAGAGCCAACGCTGTTTACTCCTCTATCCTCTCTACTGAAGTAAAATGCATGTCCTTGATCAGTTATTGTTTCTCCAAAATCTTTCCAGCTAGTCTCACATAGACCCGTGAGATGCCAACTATACCTTTCCAGCTAGTCTCACATAGACCCAGGATATGTCAGCTATACCTTTCTAGCTAGTCTCACATAGACCTGTGAGATGTCAGCTATACCTTTCTAGCTAGTCTCACATAAACCCATGAGATGCCAACTATACCTTTCCAGCTAGTCTCACATAGACCCGTGAGATGTCAGCTATACCTTTCTAGCTAGTCTCACATAGACCTGTGAGATGTCAGCTATACCTTTCTAGCTAGTCTCACATAGACCTGTGAGATGTCAGCTATACCTTTCTAGCTAGTCTCACATAAACCCATGAGATGCCAACTATACCTTTCCAGCTAGTCTCACATAGACCCGTGAGATGTCAGCTATACCTTTCTAGCTAGTCTCACATAGACCCATGAGATGCCAACTATACCTTTCTAGCTCACTTTCCACCTAGGACCGTGAGTCCTCACATGTCAGCTATACCTTTGCACCACTGGCTGGTGCTAGTTACTCACTTTTCACTTTTCACATAGCTCCCCCCAACACTGCTGGCTGCAGTGCCAGTCATGACCACACCTTACAGACCTTTGCTTTACTTATATATTATGTTTGTAATGATTCTTAAATGTATCACAGTTTACACTGTGTGTGTTTGTAATGCTCTTTAATTATACCATCATACATTGTCTGTGAATTCAGGTTGTTCAACTCTGTTGGTGGCCTCTGACTAGAGACTGTATAGCCTATCTTGTGAGCATTGGTGCACTTATCTTTGTCATTGCTGATGAAGTTATTACTTGGTAAGTTGCTTTTATTACCAGTATTACAATTTTCATGTGTCTTTCTTCAGAAGATGTTGGTTGCCTATTCTCTTCATGGTGTCATGACTCAACCCCATCAAATGTTATCTCTGTGTGCATTCCATGGTCCCATTGTGGGGAAAACAAGAATAGACCCACTGCCTCCCCAACAAGCATGTCGTAGTCGTCAAAGTACATCTGTTTGGCCTGTGAGGCAAGGAAGCAAGTCTGCATACAAATAAACCCAATTTATTCAACGATGTGCATGCAACACTCAGGTTCTGGAAAAGGGCTTAAGTCCAAAGGCAGACGAACACCCAGAACTTTCGCTAGAGTTTACAGCAAGTAAATGCGGAAAAGAAAAAAAATGTTTTGTCTGTTTGTAGTTGTAGTAGGTAATTTTACAAGCAGAAGTTGCCATTGCTTGCTGAACGATTCTACACTTTTACCATTATACAAATTAACACAAAGAATTGTGCTGAGCCAGGAACTAAGATCCTGTTGCTCGGGACATTTCCATAACTGCTCAGTACCTGTCTTCAGGTCTAGTGCAGAGGTTCAGTTCCAAAGTTACCAGTATCAGTCTGACTGTATGTCTGCCTAAGTGGTGCAGTCTGCAGTACTAGACAGTCTGTCTGCCTGGTATATTTAAAAACACCTGAATTTAAAATAGTTGCGTATCCTTTACAGGACGTTGCAGAACCAACCATCAGCACCTTCTGGCTGTTGTGGTTTTTCTAGGCAAATTTATGTCAAGTAGTTTGCGATTGCTTTCTGGACGGTCGGCTCTCGGTACCACAGTCGAAATCCTTGCAAGACAAACCATCTGCAGCAGGGATTGAACCCGGCACCCTGACATAACGAAGTGCATTCGCAACGTCTAAGAAACACCTGAATACTCTAAAGAAAACTTTGAAAGGAGGCTTAGTACAAGAAATTTCTGAAGCAATGCCTTCCCATTCTATTTGGAGCATACCTTCTCCAACTTCCTTAGCATGCTTGGGAGAAAGCACATTACCAGCCCTATATTATTATAGACTAAAAACTAATAACTTTTGTTAGCATTAAAATTCCATGTGTGTGCAAAAGCCTCAAGCCAAAAGTTAGTCACGCTTTTATTTCTTTTGCTCTGAAAATCCATGTCTGCTTAACAGGCTGAAATTAAAATTGTTTGTCTGTCTCCTCTCCCACACCCTTTCTAACAGGGCTTTGAACACATTCATTTAAGAGGTTTTTTTTTTCCTTTTCTTGTTGATTCTTTGATTATCAATACATTGCATGCTTGTTTTGTACTTCTTTTTGTATTTTCTTAAGCACAACCTTAAAATTCTGCTGCCAGTGGTTTTTATGTCAATGTTCTCTATTCTTATTCTAACATAGTGTGCTAGAAGTTAATGAGCTGTCCTAGCAATCTAGTTTAAGATTGTTAAATATTTAAGAGGATGCTCAATAATTAAAGGCTTACAGAATCTTGTGTTTAAGTTTTAATTTTTTCCCTTATACAGGGCCAGGATAACACAACCCACTCCATTTCCTCTATGTAAAAATGTCAGTATCTTCTTGCTGTGCCTGTCAGTAAACATTAGCTCTGTATTTTTTGTTTTGTTCCTCTCCTTATTGATCCTTGCTGAGCTTCCATGTTTTAAATGGCAAGATGAATCATTCTGTGAATCCTTTTATATAGAAAATAATGCTAACAGTGTCAGGTTTGTTAGGGGGAACTATATTTAATTACCACAAATGTTAAAGTAGAGAAGCCCAAATTACATTCATAGTATTAGTAATTTAAATGAAATGCAATGGGACCAAGGTTTTTGTTCTGAATCCGTTCCAGATTCTTGGACATATACCAGACACGATGTATACCAAAAGAATTTTCCCATAAGAAATAAGTGGTGAATGATCAATTCATTTCCATTTTTAAAAAAAATACTATTGTTATTGGCAAATTATACATTGATGGGGTTGTATAAAAAAATATATAAACACTGCCTAATACTAAAATACTTCTTCTTCTCTTTCACCATTTACCTCAGCAAGGTTTTGGGGCTCCCGGGTGTAAGGATCGTTTGTGCACTTTTTCCATTGCATTGTACAAGTTGGTGGTGTTTATTTCTGTTAGGTTGCTCCTGATGATGTCACTCCATCTATTGTGTGGTTTTCCCCTTGCTCTGTGTTTATTACATTTCTTTAATATGGCTCTCTGGGGCAGTTGGTACCAGGGCATTCTTGTCAGGTGGCCAATTCATTTATTGTTCTTTAATGGATTGTATGACTGGTATACTAAAAAACACAAATACAAAAACAACTAATTGAAATAAGTGCAAATTTTACCGCACTTTACTTTGCTGAGCAAAGTCGAGTCCTACTAGGATGGTGCTGAGAAGGGGACAGGAGAAACCTCATTATTTAGAAGAAGAGTTCCCTTTCATAAAAACGTCAGGAATCTGAAAATCAGGGGGGTTTTTCCCTATTTTTTTTCCTGTCTCTTTTCCCTAATTGGACCTGGTTGAGGCTGATCATGTTCGACTTTAATTAAAAACCTGTCCAAAGAACTGTGCATCTTCTCCTCAGAATGTTTTAGAAGTGTGACATTGTCTGGTCATTCCATAAAAAACTCATAAAAGTTCTAGCACACGAGCAGTATTCCAAACATAGGTTGCTTACGGAGCAAAATTGTTTGCGTCTTAACAGCACATTTACTAGGTTGAACATGTATCAAAGCAGACCTATACCGAGCTACCCACTGTATATTTTTATTTTCTGTTTAAATATTGGAATTATTTATGCTTATTTACTTTTAGCTACTTAATATTCCATACATTATTTATTTATTTTTACAGATTGTAGGAGTATCAGTTAGGTTTATTATTAAGTTTTAAGTGTATTTTTTTGAATGATTATAATAATTATATTGTTTAATATTTCTTTGAAAATAATAAAAATGATCTAGAATACCATTGCTGTGTCATAGGATATATTTTATTAACACCTTAACTTTTTCTGTCCAAGAAGGTTATAGCTGATGTCCAAATGAGTCAAATGTGAAATGAGCAAAAAAATGGCCCAAAATCGCATCCCAAAAGACAGAGTGTTATTGAATGTTTTAGCATGCTCGACTAAACACAAAATTTACCAGCCAAAAAATATTTTGTCTTTTTGTCTGATGCATTAGAGTAAATCCAGTGATACATGTTGCCATGTCTGGGACTAAAAGAATTCAAATTACTTACTATTTAATAAGAAACACTAGTATGTCATTTTTTTAAAAAGTAATGCTACCTATTTTGACCACTTTAAGCTATATTAAACATTTATATAGAAGAGCGACTGCTTGAGCAGTTAAGAATAGTGTGGTGCGGAGGTTGAGAGCCTCAATAAAGTGATTAATTTTTTTTTCAGTCTCGGGCAAAAATAACATCCTTACCTCCGCACTCCATTGCAACTGCACTAGCTATGCAGCCCTAAATCCTTACCCACCAAGCCCAAATCCCCACCTTCCCCAACCTACACTGCTCTAAAAAGTGGTAAAGACAGTTTTCTTTTTAATTTACATTACAGTCAAGAGTCAGGGTTTAAAAGTAATTATTTACCTGCCATTAAAAGTTACTGTTGTTTCAGGAGAAAATAAATTATCTACCTGGTAAAGTTGAAAATATGCCTTTTTGTTCACAGGTATGAGTCTATAATCTTTCTGGTGCTGTATGGCCTGTACATATTTTTCATGTTTTTTAATCAACGACTGGAAAGAAGGCTGGTGCCAATGTTCTCGTGTTGCCCAAAAGAATCCTCGTCTGTTCCAGATCAAGTGATTGTTCATTATGAGAAAATGTCAGAGGGTGACACTCCAGATGGTTAGTGTTGAATGTGTAATGTATTTGGTAATTAGTGGCTGTAGACTCTGGTTGAAAGTTGTTTTTGTTCATACACCTCTGGACTTTTTTCTTATTCCAAAATTTGAGTTTGTCATTTGAACCCCTTCATATTAGACAGTTTAACACCCTGGTAGGTAGGGATATCTATATTTTAAAAAATAATAACAATAATTGGCAGCAAACAAACAGTGAACACACATGGTGACCAAAGTCTTATGTTACTTTTTACCCACATTGAGATCCTAGCACACCACTCTGACCCATTCATGCTCCGTCCTTCAATGCATCAGTTATCTCAGTTTCATCTTGCTCAACATACCCAGTAGGAGCTGAGTGGCATTTCTTCTTTTCTTTGACCACAGCTGGTTTCTACATGCTTGTTCTCATTTAGCCTCATTTAATACCCATTTCCAACTGGTGGTTCATCATCTCTGCTCTGACTCCTTTATATATACATAAATATACACACACATATATACATACATACATACAGCCATATGTCCTGAACTTTAAGAAATGGCAGGGCCATGATAAGGGAAAAATTGAAGTACCTCTCTGCAATAGAAAAACAGAATTAAAAAGGAAGAAAGGCAGAAGGAGACCTTCTTCATCTTCTTTGCGTCCACTGGCTGTAAAGTCTAGTATAAAGTTCTGGTTGTTTGTCCACTTCTGGACTTTTATTTCAGAACTTGACTGTGATGTATTCATTTGTTTTACAGACCTGGTTTATTTGTATTGACTGTTGGTTCCTTGCCTCTCACCTCCAGTAGATGGACTCTTGACTTTTCAGGAAACACCCCTAATTAGTCAGTGGGTTTATTCCCCCCCCCCCCCCCACCCACCTCAATAAGACCCTGGAACCTCAAACACGGTTAACAGAGAGACCAGGAGAAGAAATTAGACATTTTAGCATCATGGTAGGTATTGACACTTGTATGAAAAATGATAGACAGTAAACACACTATAAACATACATCGAGACTGCAGTCTTCCCCCCCCCCCCCCCCCCCCCCCCCCCCCCCCCCCCCCCCCCCCCCCCCCCCCCCCCCCCCCCCCCCCCCCCCCCCCCCCCCCCCCCCCCCCCCCCCCCCCCCCACCCGCCGTCCCGCCTCCCTCCAGTCATCACTTATAAAAGAGGTTATCACCAGCATGAACCCAGGAAGACTAACCCAGACAACAAATGCCTGAAAATTCGGGTGTGTCAGCTAAAAAGTGTAAATAAAATAATGCAGCCATGCGGTAAACAGGCACAGTTCATGGTACAGGTACATTTACATCCTTGGATGAACACAGAAGAAGAGGAGTATGTCATGAACTTAAAGGGATTGATTGCTGACTGAATTGTTCTTCAAGCAGAGAACTGATTGCCAACACAAGAAGGAGACAGTCTACATTCTTTGATCATGTCATAAGAAGGAGAAAACTGGAGTACAGTGGGATAGTTCCAGGGAAATAGATTTAAAGGGGAACCAAGAGAGATGCTGAACAGTTAGACATCATGGCATGGAGGATCATCTGTGTTGAGTTGACAACAGTACATGAGACAGAAGGTTTTCATGACTACCAACACCACACGGCATGGACTTTGAGAAGAAGAATTGTTCTTCATATCTTCTTAGATGAGTTTAAGTATGTTTTAAATATCAGCTGTAAATACTGTGTGGTGCTGTTGGATAAGATTAAGATGGTGTCTATCATGTTTATTCAATCATATTTTAATTTACACAGGCCCAAATGAGACAACATTAGTTTTGCCGAAGCATTCCCACACAGGCAGTACAATATCCATTGACTCTGCTGAATCTACCACAGGTACGTTAAAAACTCTTCATGACTTTCTTCAAACCTAAGCAAATCAGTATCATCATTATCATCAAGTGCCTTGCCAGTGGGTGTTGGCAGTCGTGTGTATCTCTCACTTAAAATCTTTGGTAACATGTTTTAGTTGATGATTTATGATTATCAAGAAACTTTTCCAGCAGTAAAAAATGGTTATTAATGTTTTGCTCTTCTCGTGAATTTATCACCACATAACATTTGTATCAGCATCACATACATGTGTATGTGTGTGTGTGCGTGTGTGCGTGCGTGCATGCTTGGGTGCTTGCAAGAGGGAGAGAGAGAGATACCTGACATTTTGCATTCAATATGTGAGATGACCCAACAACATCCATATACTTTGATATTGTGTGAAGCTCATCCCACACCCTCCACCCCACTACCCCAGCCCTAATCAGGTGATAAAAAGTGGCTTTTAGCCAACTTGTTCTAGGTCATTCTCAACTCATTCTAGGCCATTCTATCCTTTGCCGTTGTGTGTAGTTCATCCCACACCCTCCACCTCAGCCCTAATCATGTCTTTCTCTAATTTATTCTCGCTCTATTTGTAGCTTAGACATTGCAATTGTGCTCTGTAATGCTGAGGTGCCAGACTTGATACAAGATGCAGGTGATTTGGCAGCAGACAACCTTACATGTGATTCAACAGGGACATTGAGAGCTGTTTGTTCATAAAACTGGCAAACTACTAGACATAAATTTGCCTGTTAAAACAACCAAAACATGCTAGGGGAGCTTCTGTGACCTTTTGTAAAGGATACACAACCAACTGTTGTGTTTGGCAGTCTGCTATTCTTTCCTTAGTCCTATAGTTTCCAGAGCAAGGACATTCTAGTTATATACTATTGTCAGGTTTTTGTTTTTTTATGTGTGTCCCATCAACCTCCAGCATCTTTCATTCACCTTTTGTCACCACATCCGAGATGGCCCTAAGCAGTTTGCACTATATTGTTTTCATGTCAAATTATTAGTTTCTAAAAAGAACATTTGTGGCAAGCATACAGTGGGTGAACAAATCAGGGATTGACACAGACACAATGAAAGCTTCAATGAAAAATTGTGGCACTGATTTTGAAAATTTGGAGAGCATTGCAGTTGATTACAATATTTACCATAGTTAAATCTTTGTAATCAAATCTTTAAAAGCTCGCTGATATTGGAATATTTACAAGCAGACAACACATTTAATGATGCTGTTTTATTAGTTATAACTCAGTTAAGCACCACAAATAACCATAAGTAGACCTAACTAAGTCAACAGGGCACACTAAGTATAGTACATGTTCAAATCTTGTTCTTGTTTTTCAGTGTTTCAGACCCTTGAGATTCAGTTATGAGTTAAGAACTAACATCATAGTACTTGGGACATTCCCAAAAGCACTCCTTTCCCATCTTCAGCAGCAAGTTCCAATTCCAATGGTACCAGTAACATTCTGACTGTATGTCCATCTTGCCACTCCCATGAGTGCTGAGTGTATGACCAAATTCCTTAGTCACTCTTGGCTGCTGCCCTATTCTCTTCAGACCATGATGATCTAGTTGTGATTCCACACTGTTTACTCACTTTCAAAGGGCACCTGCAGTGTCTAGATCGTCATGATTTATTTACCACCAAATGGTGCAAAACTAACCAATCTGCCTACCTTTTCATTTCCCAACTCACTGCCATACCCTGGACTAAATACCAAAAGGATGCTAACTAACTGGGACATCTAAAGCGATGCTTGACACTCTGCATGGAGCATACCTATTCCCACCTTTACCACTGAGGCTCACTGCCGCAGATAACACCCACTTCCTTTCATCTCTGTGATTGGTAGTCCAGCTTTAAAAATATATAACCATTCGGTGTCAGTTGTTGAAATTTGACATGCAACCTTTTAATAATCAGTATCCTTATAAGAATGTTTTGGTTTTTTTTAAATTTAAACAAACATCTAGTTTTCATTTTGCAGTATATGAAAAAACAGACACCCATTCAAAGCAGTCAGCATGCTTATAGTAACTTGAGTAAATTGAGTAACGGAAATTTTACAAACCATCAGATTGCATTCATTTCATAGGCATTTCATTCTCAGATGGTCATCTCCAGCATTAGTCTCCTGTGACTGGTAAATTTTTCATTGCATGTGGGATAGGCTATCAAAATAATCTCAACTCATCACTGCACATGAGAACTGATTTTCAAACAATCTCCACACATGTGCCATTTGCTGTGTATTCTATTTTTTAGGGGTATACAAATTGTTAGTCAAACATAGATCAATGAAATTTGCTGCTTTAAGAAAACAGCAGCCCTGTGCACTTGTAAATTATAAAATCATAAGGTCATGGGAAATGTAAGGCCACATTCTGTAATTGGTATGGATCCATACAGGAGTTTAAGATACTTTTTTAAAGTGAGGGCATGAGTTTTGAAACACAAAATTATAGAAGGTTGACAAATGGCTCCATGACTTAGAGGTTAGTGAATCTGTCTACCAGTGTCACAATCCTCAAAATACCACTGTTTCCACAAGGGGTGCTCTGTTATTAAATTAACTTCTCATGGCTTTCTAACAGCTGTTTGAGAGTCGCACCAAGTAAGAGATTGAATCTCACCAGGTCGGAAATCCTGAAGACAGCAGCAGGTTTACTTCAGCCAATCTTCATTATGGAAGAAGTAGAAGGTTGAACAGGATATTTGAGATATGTCTGTTAAATAGACATTAAGGATTTAGCTAATTAGTTCACTTGGGTATCATACTTTTTGAGAGTAGCCAATGTGGGAAAAACCAACAGTCAGTTAGTTATTACTGTGTATTGTATTCAATATTGAAATAATGTTCAGTCAGTTAATCTGTCATGTGTTGCACTATAAAGTTACTACTGGAAGCTCTCCATATGGGTTCCGGGGCCTTTTTGTGAGGAAACAAGAACAGACCCATTGCCTTCCAAAAAAATATGTCATAAGTGTCGACTAATTGGAAGCTTCCTTCGAAGTTGGAGTGCATCTGCTTGAGAGGCAAGGAACCAACAGTCTGCATACAAATTAGTCAAATCTGTAAAATGGATGTTCAGGCAGGTTCTGGAACAAGACTAAAGTCAAGAGGTGGATGAATACTTAAAACTTTCCACCAGCGTTCACAGCCAGCGAATGCAAAGAAGAAGACTGCTGGACGCCACGTTAGCATAGCAGCTAATGCTCACTTGCCAGCCTAAAGACCTTGGGTTCAAGTCTTCATGAAACTTGATATTTTTTTTTAATGGCCTCTGATCCTAAGACCATTCAGTCTAAAATTGGTATCAGGTAAAATAGTGGGAATTATGGCCACTTAAATGATCTTGACTATATCACTAATCAAGTACTGATTGGTCAGTTATAGATATATGTGTAGCATAATATACCCAATGCACATTTTTTTTTAAAGTTAGTTTATGTCCCCTTAACAGGAGGTAGCAGAACCAACTTCAGTGTTTTGTTACTGTTGCAGTTTTTCAAGGCAAATTTATGTTCAGTAGTTCACCATTGCTTTCTACGTGATCGGTTCTTTTTATCACTGTTAAAACTAAGCAAGGCAGTTTGAGCCAAATCCCCTGCATCTGGGATGGAACCTGGCACTCTGGATTGCAAATTATAAAGCTAAGTAAAAAAAAATTCCTGGATCGTCTCAATGTATAATTAAACAATTATTATCACTCACACATTTGTTAAACAACATTCATTAATATTTTTTTGCAGAAATCCACAAAAAAGTTCCAGATGAGGCAGTATGGCACAGACCACCATCAGGCCGCTGGTCTTGTGCCTTGTGGTGCATCTCATTACCCATTTGTTTCCTTCTATACTTCAGTGTGCCAGACTGTAGGCTGGATCGGTTCAGAAAGTGGTTTTGGGTCACATTTTTCATGTCCTTGGTCTGGCTGTCAGTGTTTTCATTCCTAATGGTTTGGATGATTACCATTATTGGTGAGTTTCAGTGGAAAATTTTGTGAATTGTATTACTTCTACATCTGGCCTCAGGAGCCAGGTGGTGCAGTGAGAGATAGATGCATGCTTGCTGGCCCGAATGTCTTGAGTTGTGAACCCTTGTCGGGGCAGATTTTTATATTTAACTATAGCAGTGTTCTTCAACAAAGAGCAGCGGCCTGCTGGCAGGTCATGGCGAAGTCCTGTTTGCCCACCAACAAGTTTGGACTAATCATGAAACAAGAAAAAATATACCTCTCTGAGTTATAGAGCTATCAGATTGTTGGTCATTTATTCAACTTCCTTTCTGTGTGAAAAGACTTTTACAGCCATGTCAGTAATAAAAACCAAATAGAGACATTGATTGGCTGTTACTACAGTGCTTAATCTATCAGAAACAACGCACTAGCCAGCCACTAAATAAGATTTTTTAACCTCTATACTAGGGCTGTACCGAATAGTGATTTTCACTATTCGGCCGAATACGAATAGCAGGACCAACTATTCAGCCGAAAACGAATAGTGCATAATGTATAAAATATATCTAAAAACAACATTCATAATGTCAAATGTACGCTGAACTTTTACTTCACATAAAGTAGCACAGAATAGTTATCTTCTTCTTTAGCATTCTGAGCCCTTGAGGTTTACTGCTGCAGATATCACTGTCTCCATTATTCTCTCTGGCTGGCCTTATCTTCACAATTTGTGACACCAGTTGTTTGCAGGTCTGGCTGGACATTATCTCTCGAACTTATTTTTTGTCTGCCTCGTGGTCTATGCCCAATTCTCTCTCAAGTGTAAACAGTTTTTACTTCTCTGTTATCTGACATTCTTTCAGTATGCCCCAACCATTTTAGACTGTTAGCTCTCATGATGCCAGTGATCAATTAAACAGATTATGTACTACGTTGTTGTTTCTTACTCTCCATATCCCGCTTATAGCTTCTTTGATGTGTCAAAAGATTTGTCGTAAGACTGTTTTCAAAAACCTGAAATAAGGCCTCATCTCTTATTTCTGCTTCAAGTTTCAGAGCCAAATAAAATGACTGGTCTTTTCAACGTTTTATATATTTTGATCTTGGTGTTGCGAGACAGACACTTTGACTTTAGCAGATGTTGAAGGGCATAGTACATTTTATTTCTAGATTGTATTCTAGATTGTATTTCTTCTCTCAGCATGTTGGAACAGTTGAAGTTTGCACCCAAGTACTTATATGTTTCCGTCCGTTTGATTTTCATATTATCAACTTGTATGTGGCCGGAGTTTATATTCTTTCCATGTCTAGTTAGTATTCATACAGAATAGTAAACATTTAAAAACATTTTGTGTTCTGCATCCTTTAGTCAGTCTGTGGTAACTAATAACTAAGATTGAAAGAATCCTAAGTATTATAACAAGTAACTAAACTTGGAAATTGTCACTGACAGCTTAGTTAATGCAGGAAAGCTGCATTAGCTTTCAACAAAACCAATCGTTCCATGTTGTCACCATTAAGGCCGTGTATGCAGAAGCAGATGTTAGGTAACTACTATTCATATTCGGCATGACCGCAACTATTCGGCCGAATACCGAATAGTCAATAGGTCCACTATTCGGCCCCGAAGCGAATACGAAGCGAATATTCGGTACAGTGCTACTCTAAACAGCAGCAGTCAGTATGCTGAAAATTTTAATTTTTGTTACATTGGATTTAACAAACGAACTGCCAGCTACATTTGTTTGTGAGTTTGGCTAGATGTCAAGTGGGCTGTGAGAAAAGTGTGCCATTTTGGTGAAAAGGTTGAGAAACACTGGACTAAACTGATAATCTAAAACTGGTATGAGCCACATTACAAGAGAAGCCGTGGGGGACTAGTGGTCACCTTAGACGGGACTGAATGTTTTTGATTAGCTGATGTTAAACAGAGAAAGAAACAGAAGGAGGAGGAGGAGTTCCTTATTGTGAACAGAAATTGGGCATTCAGATCTAGTTGCATTAGTAATTAGCCAGTGGTGTGAAAGTGTCTTTTACTTTAATTAACATATTCTTGATGTGCAAATTGTGTGAAAAGTGTCCTTTACTTTAACATATTCTTGATGTGCCAGTGGTGTGAAAAGTGTCCTTTACTTTAATTAACATATTCTTGATGTGCCAGTGGTGTTAAAAGTGTCCTTTACTTTAATTAACATATTCTTGATGTGCCAGTGGTGTTAAAAGTGTCCTTTACTTTAATTAACATATTCTTGATGTGCCAGTGGTGTGAAAAGTGTCCTTTACTTTAATTAACATATTCTTGATGTGCCAGTGGTGTTAAAAGTGTCCTTTACTTTAATTAACATATTCTTGATGTGCAAATTGTGTGAAAAGTGTCCTTTACTTTAATTAACATATTCTTGATGTGCCAGTGGTGTGAAAAGTGTCCTTTACTTTAATTAACATATTCTTGATGTGCCAGTGGTGTTAAAAGTGTCCTTTACTTTAATTAACATATTCTTGATGTGCCAGTGGTGTTAAAAGTGTCCTTTACTTTAATTAACATATTCTTGATGTGCCAGTGGTGTTAAAAGTGTCCTTTACTTTAATTAACATATTCTTGATGTGCAAATTGTGTGAAAAGTGTCCTTTACTTTAACATATTCTTGATGTGCAAATTGTGTGAAAAGTGTCCTTTACTTTAACATATTCTTGATGTGCAAATTGTGTGAAAAGTGTCCTTTACTTTAATTAACATATTCTTGATGTGCCAGTGGTGTGAAAAGTGTCCTTTATTTCATTTAGCATATGCCTGATGTATCAGTAGCGTGAAAACACCAGAAAGTAGAAGTTAACATCTTATGCTCACATGAGAATAGAAAGCCCAGAAAACCTGAAATTTAATTGGGTTTTTAAAGAGGTGTGGAAGGAATTTTATTGATAAATAATAATATGTAAAATGATAGTTTGTGATGAGCCTGACTTTTGTTGCATTTGGGGTTAGCCTTCCTGATGTTGTTGCAAGTGTGTTGGTCATCAAAGATGGTAAGTCATTTGAGCAGGACTGTAGTTGTGATCTTTGTTATGATTTCTTCATTTAAACAATGCAGAGTAACAATGTGAGCTTCCTGAACCATTTATGCAAAGAAAGTATATATGAGAACAAAAAATGTTGAAAATGTAGAGACCAGACTTGCATGACCATTGATGATCCAACCTCATATATCGTAATGTATGGGGTTTCCATTGGCATTTGACACTCATGACCCCCAAAAAGCAACACCTGGAGAAACAGCAAACTGGTTGAGATCCAAGGCTGAACTTTGCTATGCGTTATGATCCACATTGGCACAGCAACCCTATTCAGAACTTCTATCAAACAGTCCTTCTCAAAAAGAGAATATAACATTTAATCATGTCTGACCAAAAATACAGTGAAGATCAAAGCCTGTGAGTATAAAGAAAACAAAAAATAATTTCCCCAGACAAAAACTGCCTGTCACCCAAAAATAACAATAAATTATCACAAACTTTGAATTTCTAGGATTTATAATAAACAGCGAAAACGATTGTTCAACCTAAGATAAAATGATGATGGCCTTAGCAATGCAAAGATTGAAGAGCATAAAATGTCTATGGTTAAGCACACCAAAGGGGAAAGAAGGTCAAGATTTTGAGGGCATTTATTCTCCCTGTAGCAACATACAGATGTGAGCCATGGACTAACTCTGAGTTATTAAAGAGGAAAATAGGGGCTTTTGAGCTGAAATGCTACCGAAAGATTTTAAGAATACCAAGAAGAAAAATTCTGCTTCTTCTTCTTCTTCTTCTTCTTCTTCTTCTTCTTCTTCTTCTTCTTCTTCTTCTTCTTCTTCTTCTTCTACTTCTTCTTCTTCTTCTTCTTCTTCTTCTTCTTCTTCCTCTCTTCCACCTTGTACCTCATTGAAGTGTCGGGGGGGGGGGGGGGGGGGGGGGAGATGTAATGTTCGTTGATGAGCTCTGTCAAGAGCACTATTAAGACTAATGTTCATTTCTCTAAGGATGTTCTTAATGCCATCACTCCATATTTTCTGAGGTCTTCCACTCGCTCTATACCCGTAGTAATGTTTTAGTGTGGCTCTATATGGCAGATAGTACCAGGGCATTCTTGTTAGGTGTCCAAACCACTTGTTCTTTGATGACTTGTAAGACTGGCTTTTTTTTTCCTTAAGAAATTCTGACATCCTTAACTCTTTGAGTCCCAGGGGGTTTTGCATCAGAGGCCCAAAAGGGGGGGGGGGGGGGGGGTAATATGATTTTGACTTTTTACAAATGCGGCACCTTAAAACAAACCACACAACTGCAGCTGACGTCTAACATACACATATCATACATAAAATTAAACATAAATGGATAAGGATTAATATTAGCATACTGCTACAACAAACAATTATACTGTTAGTTAGTATTTAGTAGAGAAAACAGTGACTTAGTTTGAGAGATGAGTAAATTATCAACAAGTTTTTTCCACTTACCCAGAAGCTGATCCCAAAATTCTTGATATAGCATATCCAAAATGCATCACAAAGGAAGGTACACCACTTATAAGTATGCACAGCCAATATTAAAGCAAAATGTGCAATAGTTGTTGTTCTATAGCAATTTGAATAACATTACCATAACACTTCAAAATATATTCTCCAGTGGCACAAACAGTGACTTTTCTAAAAACAATTGAATTCCTCACATAGAAAAAACTGTAAAGGCACCGTAAACATGTCTACCTGTTCATAGATATATATCTATGGTTTTAGATGATATGGATAGTAGTACTAGAAGCGTTGACATTTGGACTAGCTGGAGTCGTGTTGCGAGGTGCTTTTCTTGTGTTGCCATGGCAGAATTAGTCAGTTTTGTCCTCTTAGCAGGATGTAAATTACGCACACATTCCTCATCAAAACTTGACTCGTCAACTGTTTGGGGAAATTTCATGGCGCTACTATCATTACAACTCCACATTACTTTAATCAATCCACTGTTTTATCAAATTTGATGATTCTAAAGCAGTAAATCGCTTTCATGGGCGTGAAGACGATGACTGATCGGACATATTGTTTTCAGACAATTGTTTGGTAATGTAGTAGACCACACAAATATCGATTTAAAGCATTAAAAACTCACCAAACCCAAACGAATGCACTCCACGTGTGTTCACTACACACTTGAGAACCGGAAAGGAAGTTTAAATTGATTACTGATAAGTGGTAAATTAAAAACCGTCACACGTCACGCGCTGTTTGGGCCGCAAAGTAGTAACAAATCAGCGCGTGATGCGTTCCTTGGGACTCAAAGAGTTAAAGATCTGAACACTGAAGAAGTCTGGCTTGTTAACAGCACCTTGTCAGGAAAGTGAAATATTTTGTCCACATCAAGCACCGTGGTGGATTCAAATAAATAGTGGAAGAAGGCATGGTGCTAGGAAAAAGGAGCAGGGGCTGACCAGCACAAAGATGAGCATAGGTTATAAATGATTCCTTGGGTAGGAGTACATGATGTGGGAGATCTGGTGAGAAACCAAGTTTCTTTCAGATAGGTTGTGATGAGAGAGACATTCTGCGAAGGACCTGCTACAGGGGAAGTCAATAAGTAAGTCATAAATGGTTGTGGGATGGCAGTAAAATTTAGTTGGTGTCATTAGGTGAGACCGACATCGAACTTTTGTCTCCGTTCGTAAGGTGATGTTAAGTGTTGCATGCACATGTACAGCACAGAAAAAATAAATGGCGACTACTTACAGAGTGTACCCTCAGAGAACAACGTGCTGTTGAACATTCTTTTTCAGGGCAAAAGCACTGCCTACAGAGGACATTCTTAAAGAAATGCTTCCTGTTTCTGCTATGTTTATCCCAAAAGACAGTGCATAGCTAAGTAACGAATTATTCTCAAGGACGCATCCCTGCAGTGGGTGGAGGAGATGATTAGAAGTGACAGGCAAGTAACGGTTGACTCTGTAGCAGATGCAATAGGATTCTCCCATGGCTCAGCATACAACATTATGCATGATCGACTGAAATTTAAGGAAGTGTGCTCAAGGTGGGTACTCAGACGAAGGAGAAGACATGCTGAACAGAATTATTACTAGAAATGAATCATGGGTGCATAACTTCCAGCCAGAATCAAAGCATGCTCCAATGCAATGGAAACATCCTTCTTCGACTTGTGTTACAAAATTCAAGGTTATGCCATAAGCAGGGAAGGTTATGCAAAACGAGTTCTGGGATTGTCAAGGATAGCTTTTAACCAGTCTTTTGAAAAAAAGGTGACAATGTGAATGCTGTAAAGTTCTATCGATGCTTCATGATGCAATGTGAAGAAAACATCCAGGCCTGCTGACTAGACCGTGAAGCAGACTAAGAAGATGGAGAGATAACCTCAAGACAGACCTGCAAACACTTGGTGTCATCAACTGGAAATAGAAGGCCAACCAGAGAGATGAGTGGCGGCAGGTGATGTCTGCAGCAGTGCACCTCAAGGGCTCAGAACGCTGAAGAACAAGAAGAAGATAATGAATTATGTAATCTATTGTCTGTGTCTTCATTTTTCAAATTCACAGCTCAAACTGTTTTTGAATTTTATAAATTGAAAATCTAAATTAGACAATTTTACTATTCAAGGTCTTGCTGACATGGCTGTATCAAATGCAGTTGGAAGTAATGTGTTTGACATCCTGGTATGTTTGGGTATCCCATGGTTCATACAAACATGTATTATGAAACCTGGCAGTGAGGTGCAAGTATACAGTGAAGGTATATTACACAATATTTGTGTCCAGTCTGCCTTTTGTTGTTTGTGTATTGCTGTATTAACACTGTACAGATCTTTAATGTTGATCTTTTCATGGCCAGGTAACCCCTGTTGCCCAGGTAGTGCTTAAGAAAAAATGGGTCATGACGCCTCCAGATCCCCCCCCCCCCCCCCTTTTTTTTTTTCCTTTTGCCAAAAAAAAAAAATCATTTAAAACACAATAATTTTACATAGGTCACTAATAATTTATTTTAAAAGGTATATAACTACATTTATTTGGAAACTTCTTTCTCTTAAATTTTATTAAGATGCACAAAGAGAGTTGTGAATCATCATCCCTTTGTGGAATGCAATTTTTCGTTATTTTGAAGCCCCACCCTGGCTCTTGCTGGGGCCACAATATAGCCCGGCCTTGAATATGGCCTAATGGCTGAACGCAGTTTCTGTGACCTCTCTCTCCATCGGTGATCCTCATTCGCATGGTGGCACTTTGTGTCATCAGATGTTTTTCGCTTGTATGATATCCTAGTGGGGTAAAATGTACTACTACTACTAAACATAAACTGAGGGAAGTATTAAATGGAATTAATTCTTTAGCACCTAAACTCAGTGTGTACGAATGAATCATGCCGTAACCATGTTAACTTCTATCATTGAGGCTTATGGGAAAATTTGACTTCAACTTGACTTTAAAAAAAATGTTACTTGATTGATAAAGAAACATCGTGATTGCTATTTTTTGGTAATTATAATCTCCAGTCTGGGTTCCAGCGCTGCATTTTGGAGAAAAAAGAATATACCGACTGTCTCCCCCACCCCCATGCCCATCCCAAATAAGCATGTCAAAGAAGGTGATTAACTAGGAGTGTTTTCTTTAAAGTTAGAGTGCAGTGCCTGAGAGGCAAGAACCCAATAGTCCGCATACAAATAAGCCCGATCTGTAAAATGCACCTAAGTTCTGTATCAACACCCAAGTCCAGGAATAGACAAAAAACCTGAACATTCTGCCGTTGTTTAAAGCCAGTGAACACTAACAAGAAGAAAAGAATCTATATTCATATCCTGACTTGCTAAATGTTTGCACAGGCATAAACTCAGCTAATTCAAATAATTCTGCACCATGTCAGAAAAGTTACATTTACACGTAAATGGACCCAACCAAAAGTGTCTGTTTTGCTGCTTCACTGGGTCCCAGGTTAAAAACAAAAAATGTTTTCAAAAGGAGAAATCTGGAGTCTTGTCAGTTTCATAAAATCCAGGGGATGGAGCTGACCCCTGAACAGACAGACAAGCCTGCAAGTTACTACAGTATCAAATATCTCTCCACCCCTAAGTCACTAACAACATAGTCTGGTATAAATTCCCTTCCACTGGCATAGCTTTCCTGAAGGAAAGTAATTGATCGTTGGCACAGGAGTGGAGCAACTATGGGGTGACCCGTTTGCTATGAAGCTGAAACTAAGATTACTAGATTACCAAACGATGCAGATTGTTTAAGTAACCGCTTTCCATATTTTTTATTTTTAACCAAAAATACTTTTGACAAACAGATTATTTTAAAAAATCTCCAATGACCTCACATTTACTAAAAATAGGAATTTTCGAATAGATTTGAGAGATGATGTGGAAATATAACTTTTAAATATTTTCTCCTTCTCTACTTCTTTCTTCTGTGTCTGTAAGTGCAATCAATGAATGTCAGTTTGTTTAAACATTAACACAAATTCATAGTTAAATATTAGGGCAAATTCATGCCCACTGCCACATACAATATGTACTAAACCGTTGACAACTGAAGAAATCTGCTTCATGTTATCGTTACATTTGCATGCAGCTGGGACAATAAAGTTGTTCAGTGAGCAAAACAGTTGCAGTTTCTTTAGGCATACTGGGCATATGATGCTGATCCTGCATTTTTCTGTATCAGTCTGTACTCACCGGATGGCGCATTAGGGGATTTGCTTTTATTTCTCAGGAAGCCGTCCTGTACCCATTTTGAGGCTTAGTCAGTTTTGGAGCCTTATATCAACTGAACAGATTTGCTAGATGGGGATTTGAATCTATGTCCACTACATCATCAGGCAGACATTCAAGTTACTGTGGCTCTTGGTTGTTTAGTATACTGACTCCCTTTGGGAGTGAGTGAACAGTGCAGAGGCACAGATAGATCATTACGGTCTAAGAAGAATGGCTCTGCGAGGAGTTACCACGGAATCTGGCTGACACTCAATACTCAGGGAAAAGTTGAAACAGATATACAATCAAACAATTACTGGTACCATCAGAATAGGAACTCTTCGCTTGCTGTGGAAGATGGGGACTGAGCACTTATGGGAGTGTCCCGAGTGCTGTGATGTCGATTCCTAATTCAACATTCAACATTTAGTATACTGACTGTACCCATACTGGTTCTGGGCTCTCATTTTAGGGGTGAAAAAGGATGTACCCACCTGCTGCTAACAAGCGTGTCATAAAAAGTGACTAATTCGAAGTTTGCTGAAATTGAAACAGAATGTGTTGGGCCGGAGGGTGTGGGTATCACAGCCTAGCTAAAATCCGCACCTCAGCATGGCAACCACTTCTTTTAAGTGTAAACACAGAAGAAGAAGTATCCTGGTCAAATTTGTAGACAGGTCAAATTTATATGCATGTGTAACCTGATCAGGAGAATTGACCAGGGACCAAGGAAATTGTTTTTCTTATCAGAATTTCCTCTCATGCAGATAAGAATTCAAACTAGAAAAATTCCTGGGATAAATAAATTGTTCTTCACATCAGAAATTCACCACACCAGAGATCAATTTAAGCAGACTGCTTCGTACAGTTTTTTTTGGGTTTTTTTTTTTTTTTTTGCTTTGATTCTGTGCTCATTTAGATTTATTGGTTATTTCCTAAGGATTGCTGTATTCATCCATCATGCTGCTGTCGACTGTTGCCCTGCTTCTGTCTTTAATTCACCTCAACAAATGGACCTTGGACAAACGCATCAGCATTGCCTTCCTGGTGATCTATGTTGCCTACACAGTACTGGCATCACTTTATGAGATGAATATATTTGGTTATTTCCATCCAGAGGAGTGTCCCAGTGACTACTGAGTTTACTGTTATTTGACATTTGTTCTAGCTGATAGCCAAAATATAGGGAATTGATTTTGTTGTTGTTGTTGTGGATTATATAGTCATTTTATCTCCAGTCTTTTAAATGCACATGTTAATATAGTATATTACATATGTAAAAGTGCACAAGACTTTAAACTGATTGTATTGCTGCAGATTATTATGAGTATATGAATGAGGACCAAGATCATCTTTTTTTACAAGAACTAGATGTAATTATATAATCCTGACTGATCGAACTTAAGGCAATGTTATTTTAAATGCAAGATATTTATGACAAAATGAAAGCTTTGTAGAATAAAGTACATTTATTTCTAAGACAAAGTAGCTTTGTATAATGAAGAATAAAAATTTTAGCTAAGTGAGCTTGATCAAAGAAAATGGTAGTTTTGTAAAATATAACACAATGCTTAGACTTCAAGAACTTGGTCTTAGAAAAATTATAGCTTTATAAAATAGAGAATACATCTGAAAAAAGGATGGCTTTGTGTAATAAAGTACACAGCCTTAGCTCGAAACGTGATCTAAAAAATATAAGTTTTATGTGATAAAAAAGTACAATGCTTCAGATTTGGGATACTGGTCTCACACACACAAAAATAGCTTTGTATAATTAAATAAATTTCTAGGAAAATAATAAACTTTCTAGGACAGTGATAATTTAGAATAGTGCAAAAATCTCTAGGAAACTGACAGCCTTGCCAGTTTGAAGAACACTTTAAAAAAAAAAATGAAGTTTGAGGTTTGAACAACGAATCAACATCATGGCACACACGTGGTTACCCATAGGTGCTCCGCTCTACTTCTAACTCAAGTATGAGTCCGAAGAAGCTCAGCAAAGTGCACAGGCTCTGTAGGATTGGTGAGAATCCTGAAATACTTTGGGTAGATTTTTAACTTCAAATTTTGCCTGGGTAGCGCCGTTAGACTACTCTTTTCGATTTCCAACTGCCAAAGGGTTTTCTTTACATGCGCAACAATGCACACAGGCATCCAATCTCACTACCCAGAGACCAGGTTCACGTGATAAAATCCCAGCCCTTACCGAGGATTGAACCTGGAACCTCTAGCACTTGAGGCGGACACCATGCCTCAAGACCAAACAGCCCCCTATTTCTAAAATAGATAGATGTATATAAAGTATACTGATTTAGCTTGGGGATACTCTTCTCATAGACCTTGTTCTAATCCCTCATAAAGAAAAGTAATTGTATCAGTCAGAGCTAAAATTAAACATCTTAACCCTGAATATTACATGATCACTGCTTGGAAAAGTAAACATATTTCTTCAGCCATTAAATCACTCACCAAGAATACAACAGTTGTGTTAAATGACAAGAGATGCACATTGTTTTTGTTTTTTTTATTTTTATTTTGTTTTACTCGCACATTCCTTTTTTTTTTCCAAGGTAATCACTGGAAAAACTCCACTAAAAAACAAAACAAAGAGATTTTTGGTATCATTAACTAAAAAGCCACATCTCCATTCTCCATAATCTGAAAACCATATATTTTTTTTTTTTTTAAATACATTTTTCTTCTTTCATTCACTTGAAATAGATTGTTGATATTTTCAGTGATCTATTTGGTATTAAATTCACTTGGTGATCAGATAAGTCTCAAACCAATTTTCAAGTAACCCCCCCCCCCCCCCCCCCCCCCCCGCCCCCCCCCCCCCCCCTAAAAAAAACATCAATCACATTTCTGGTTCAGTTTTGAGGGGCCAAACAAGTGACACTAATTTGTCAACTTCCAGAAAGTTAGATTATCAATCTCTCTGCTAATGACCAAGCATGTGGTGGGCTGATATTCTACTAACAGAACAGCATCTGGACATACTATTTTCTTATTACAACAAACATGCAGGGAGCTGCACAAATTATGGGGTTTATTTTATCAGGTGACTGGACATGTAAATGTAATATTATTATTTTGATTAAGCATACCCTTACTTCTATGTTATTTTACACTGTTTCTGTTGATACATTTTTTGTTGAATTTGTTTATTTATGGAATATAATTTCATACACAGACTGTATTCTAGATTTCACAGATTACTTTTCTAAATCTGTTATGCTGTTTATTAAAGTATTATAAAGTGCTACCCAATGGCTGATACTGTTAGGATTTTACATACACTAAACAAGGTCACAGCATTGTGGGGGTAGGCCAGTTCCCTTCTTTGCTCCTTCCATGCTACACAGGTCTGTTGATTTAAAATCATGTGTTTGCTAAGCAACATGAAACGTGTGATAGGTTCTTCCAAGGAAAACCCAACCAGCAAAAATGAATGTGCTCTTTGTGTAGGCTCTGGGGCCCTGTATGTGTGTGTGTGTGTGTGTGTGTGTGTGTGTGTGTGTTTGTGTGCATGCGTGTGTGTGTGGGGGGGGGGAGTAACTCTTCTTAACAAACATGTAAAAAGCATGCAATTAAATATTTGCTGTAATCAGATGTTTTGAGCTGAAAGAGATGTCCCAGCCTAGCTGGAAATCACCATACAACATGCCAACAAGCCTTCTAAGGTTAAATGCAGAAAATAGGAAGGAGGAGGAAGAAGAAAACTGAATGTGTTGTATCACTGTTTACATGTGGTCAGAGCACACTAAAAACAAATCTGGCTTCCTGGGTGACCACCCCCACTGTGTAGTTAACTGCTTTTAAAGTATCTTTTATTTATTTCTTCCCTTAATTTCTTCCCTTGAGTATCTGCTGCGAAAACCTGGTACTGAAAGGGTTAACATATTCTGTATCTTATTCTTGTATGTATTTGTTACTGTGTATATTACATGCTTGTCTTATTATTTTATCAAATGTTGTTACATTTAATGTTTAAAGTCAAGGAGATCGACTTTGTTGCCCTGGGTTTTATCGCATATGGCTTGGTCTGCCTCCACAGAGTGGTTTGTCACCTGTGTAGCTCCAGTTATGATCCCCAGGGATCTGCATAAAAATTGTAGTTATGAATTGAACGATGCATCCATGAAACAAACCCATTCCCTTTCAAAAGGGGAGAGTTTGAGGTTTGAACAACAGGCCAACATCATGGCACATGGGTAGTAACCCATAAGTGCTCAATTCTTCTTCTAACTCAAGTCTGAGTCTGAAGAAGCTCAGCACAGTGCACAGACTCTGTAGCACCGGTGAGGATCCTGAAATACTTAAGGTAGATTTTAAACTCAAAATGTTACCTTTGCAGTGCCATTAGGCTACTATTTTCGATTTCCAACTGCCAAGAGGTTTTTCACATGCGCAACAATGCACGCAGGCATCTGATCTCACTACCCAGAGACCAGGGGAATACTAGAAGTCCAAGTCACATGAAAAAATCCCAGCCCTTATCTGGGATTGAACCCGGAACCTCCAGCACTCAAGGCGGACAACGTGCCTCGAGACCACGCAGCTCCCAGAGTGAGGCAAATTGCGAGTGAGGCAAATTGCTTGACCACATCTTCTTGGGGGACCCACCATCCCACCCTTGTTTGTTACATTGACTAATTGTACCTGAATCATTCCTTCAACCCTTCTGTTCCAAAGTATATTGTGTTGAGCATGACAAATCAAAGCTTTTGTTATTTCAAGTAATTTTAGCATTATGTAGAATGACTTACATATAACAGCTCATGGAACTTAGCTAGTTAACAAGGTTATGCCAAGCTCCAAGGGAAAAGAATGTTGTGAAACTTGAGATCTCTGGTAGTTTAGCGTTGGTATTTTCCATTAGGCATCAGTGGCTAATGGGCTATTGCAAGCTCACAGTACAGTAGCATGATGTGTAGAAAATGTTTTTTTGAAAGAGGTTAAGGCTGAAAGGCAACTTATCACAAACATCTTAAAGAAGCAGCCATCAATTTTTTTTTTATGAGGGAAGAGGAAAATCTAGAACAATATACGGCTAGAAATTTCTATGCAATGAGAGACAGATAAAGACCTAAGAGAAGGTGCTTGACAACCTTTTCATTTTCATATGGAAGAAGTCATCAGATGCATTGATGCATGCTGTTGCAGATCCCAAGATCTGTCAATAAGAGGCAGCAAAGCACTTGATAAAGATGATAACTACAGAAGTCTAGTGACAACTGCATTGTAAGAACGTAAATGGTAAACAAGAAACAAAAACTCTTTAAAAAGGACAGAAAATTTTTTGGTGAAATACTGTGCTTGCAAACTTCTTAACAGTATATCACTTGTGTAGATTTTTCTAAGTAGATTGTGTGACTTTATTTTTAAAAAAATAAAAAATGTTACAAAGGAAACTGAACATAGTTCTACTGAAAAACAATAACTGAACTTGTGGCAGAAACATATTTTTGGAGACATAAATTGAAAGATCATGGTACAAAATGCAACTGAGCAACGGCCCCAGGAGGGAAAATGATAAATATAGTGTAAAGCAAATTTATTTCAGGAAGCATGAATTGAAAGATGGTACTTTTTTTCACCAGCTGTAAAACCCAGTATAAAGTTATAGTGTTCATCCACTTCTAGACCTTTGACTTGTTCCAAAACTTGAGGTTTGCATGCACATCAGTTTTACATATATGGCTTATTTGTATGCAGACTGTTGGAACCTTACTTCTTGGGCGAGTGCACTCTGACTTCGAAGGAAACTTCCCTGATTAGTCGCCTTTTACAACTAGTCCAGGAGGCAGGGGGTCTATTCTTTTTTCCTCACAATGGGGCCCCAGAACCCACAAGGGGAGAGAGATGATACAGCCTGAAGCATTACAGCTGAAGATCCAGTGATAACTGAGAATAAAGAGGATTGATCAAATTAGTCTACATCATCATCATCAATCAGCAAGTCCTTTACAGTATGTAGCTCTCTTCATGGCACACTGAAAGTATCCCTTTCCCTAGCCAGCTCTCCAACCTCATGTGCATTTCAATCTGTCTACAGTAAACCAATGCTGCTCTTGAAGCTGAGAACTGAAGAGATAACATACTCATCTGCACCATATGTTCATCAATTTATTAATAAGGTTGTGAGTGCATTTTCACAATACCAAAATACCAGAAGTTGAAGTTAGCTGCAGGGGATTTGATAGCAGACTTTGCAAAAGGTTTATGCCACAAAGTACAAAAAAGCAAACACATATTGTGGCTGGTTTGCAAACATCCTGGATAGAACAGTCAGCTAAATCTTTCACCATTATTCCATTATTTTCATGCTGGGCTGTTGCTATTGGAAGGTTTGACACCCTGAGATTTCAAAATCTCAATCTGGATGGCAGGCCGATGGGACTAATCCCTGATACCCCATTCAGCCTCTGAAGGTCTTAACTGATGCAACCCATAAGGTGCAACCTGGGTCCTACGCATTTAAGACTACAAGCCAGTAAAAAAATAGTTTTAATGCACTAAGCATGATCAATAACTTGTCTTCCTTTTATGCTAGCATGCCCTTATATAGTTGTTAGCTCTCCATGCACATTTTTGTTGCAGCACATAAGCAGTTATATAATGAAGAATGTACCATTTAGTCAAAAATAGGCTTGCGCTCAGTCATAATGCAAAAGCTTAAACAGTAAAAAATAATCACCCGCAACACTCATTAGCTTAAAATAGAACATTATTTGTAATATTGCTTGTTTCATCAGACTTAAAAACCTATTGGTATCATTTTTGATATTCAAATCAAGGAATGACTGGGTTTTACTTGTTTCATCATATTATGATTACAATGATGTTTTTTGATTTGTTTTGTCTATTTATGTTTAAGATAATGTATTTAAAATGCTGGTGGGAATTTTTTAAAATTATCAATGTAACCAAAAAACAAAAAAAAATTAAAATTCGATACAAACTGCTCCTGTGTCCTGACACAAGCCGCACAGTTTGCATCTTTTCTGTTTTAGATTTTTCTTCTTCTTCTTTCGTTCGCCTGAAATAAATTATTTAAATAAGCAATGTTGTCTTTAACCCTACCAGACCGCTGGCCCTATTTTCAGGGAATTTCTTAACCTGACGCTATACCGCTGGCCCAATTTTTTTGGCTTTTTGCGTAGTACAGGAAAACAATGAGTCACAGACTAAAAATAACTAACCAATCATAATCAGATCTCATGGATAGTCTTCCTAGACGACTGCCTGCATGTGTTTGGATAAAATTTGTGTTGTTTTACGTGAAAAACAGTTGAAGTGACACCTTCAGCTGGAATAATGAGATTCTTGAACATTTTAAATCTAGAAATAGATCGATAGAAAGAGAAGGGGGCCTGTCCCTCAAACAGCAACATCTGGTGCTCACTTTGTGAAACAATCCTGATCCTCCTGAGTGAATTGGCACACAAAGGTGGAATATTGGCGCTAAATAAAAAGATAAGCCTATTTTCTACAATGTCTCCAAGTTTCATCTTATTCTAGCCACTTGTTTGCATGTAACTAATATTTTTGTATATCATGTTGGCTTTTCACGTTAATGCCTAGGAGATCAGGTATAGGGGACAGTTTGGTTCAGGGCCTCAGATCAGGTAGGGTTAGTATGAACTTCACTGTTTTTTATAATTCACTCATCGAGCTGTAAAGTTTGACTTGCACTGATGTTTCTCTTGGCCAAATGTTTTGCCTTGATATGTTGTATTTGGGACAGTCTTGGAGGATCTGTTTTAGATGTTAGGCATGCTTACTTACCACTCACTTACACATCTGCTCTTACTCTTTAATAAAAGCTGGACTAAGTGAATCAGGTAAATGACCCATTTCCATGCCTTAAGGGGTACTGGGCCTATAAGGGTAGACCTACATTTTATAGACCAATCAGCTCTCATTTGGTGATCTAATTAACATCATGTAAGGTGCCTTTGCTTTGCACTACTTCACCTGCTACCCGAGAGATCATTTTTGGGAAAAGTATGGCTCCGTCAGGACCGGATACAAAGATGAGTGTCTAGCCGCTACACCATAGTGGCTCCCTGAAGGACAGGTAGTTGTTATATTTTCACAATTATAAGCATCAGAAGAGCAAATCTTATCACACCTTTACCAGCATACATGTATCTTCTACTTTACCAGCATACATGTATCTTCTACTTTACCAGCATACATGTATCTTATACTTTACCAGCATACATGTATCTTCTACTTTACCAGCATACATGTATCTTCTACTTTACCAGCATACATGTATCTTCTACTTTACCAGCATACATGTATCTTCTACGTTACCAGCATACATGTATCTTCTACTTTACCAGCATACATGTACCTTCTACTTTACCAGCATACATGTATCTTCTACTTTACCAGCATACATGTATCTTATACTTTACCAGCATACATGTAGCTTCTACTTTACCAGCATACATGTATCTTATACTTTACCAGCATACATGTATCTTATACTTTACCAGCATACATGTATCTTATACTTTACCAGCATACATGTATCTTCTACTTTACCAGCATACATGTATCTTCTACTTTACCAGCATACATTATCTTCTACTTTACCAGCATACATGTATCTTCTACTTTACCAGCATACATTATCTTCTACTTTACCAGCATACATGTATCTTCTACTTTACTAGCATACATGTATCTTCTACTTTACCAGCATACATGTATCTTATACTTTACCAGCATACATATATCTTCTACTTTACCAGCATACATGTATCTTCCACTTTACCAGCATACATATATCTTCTACTTTACCAGCATACATGTAGCTTCTACTTTACCAGCATACATATATCTTCTACTTTACCAGCATACATGTATCTTTTACTTTACCAGCATACATGTATCTTTTACTTTACCAGCATACATGTACCTTCTACTTTACCAGCATACATGTAGCTTCTACTTTACCAGCATACATGTATCTTCTACTTTACCAGCATACATTATCTTCTACTTTACCAGCATACATGTATCTTCTACTTTACCAGCATACATTATCTTCTACTTTACCAGCATACATGTACCTTCTACTTTACCAGCATACATGTATCTTCCACTTTACCAGCATACATTATCTTCTACTTTACCAGCATACATTATCTTCTACTTTACCAGCATACATATATCTTCTACTTTACCAGCATACATGTATCTTTTACTTTACCAGCATACATGTATCTTCTACTTTACCAGCATACATGTATCTTCTACTTTACCAGCATACATGTATCTTCTACTTTACCAGCATACATGTATCTTCTACTTTACAGCATACAGCATACATGTATCTTCTACTTTACCAGCATACATGTATCTTCTACTTTACCAGCATACATGTATCTTCTACTTTACCAGCATACATGTATCTTCTACTTTACCAGCATACATGTATCTTCTACTTTACCAGCATACATGTATCTTCTACTTTACCAGCATACATGTATCTTCTACTTTACCAGCATACATGTATCTTCTACTTTACCAGCATACATGTATCTTCTACTTTACCAGCATACATGTATCTTCTACTTTACCAGCATACATGTATCTTCTACTTTACCAGCATACATGTATCTTCTACTTTACCAGCATACATGTATCTTCTACTTTACCAGCATACATGTATCTTCTACTTTACCAGCATACATGTATCTTCTACTTTACCAGCATACATGTATCTTCTACTTTACCAGCATACATGTATCTTCTTTACTTTACCAGCATACATGTATCTTCTACTTTACCAGCATACATGTATCTTCTACTTTACCAGCATACATGTATCTTCTACTTTACCAGCATACATGTATCTTCTACTTTACCAGCATACATGTATCTTCTACTTTACCAGCATACATGTATCTTCTACTTTACCAGCATACATGTATCTTCTACTTTACCAGCATACATGTATCTTCTACTTTCTATCTTCTACCAGCATACATGTATCTTCTACTTTACCAGCATACATGTATCTTCTACTTTACCAGCATACATGTAGCTTCTACTTTACCAGCATACATGTAGCTTCTACTTTACCAGCATACATGTATCTTTTACTTTACCAGCATACATGTATCTTCTACTTTACCAGCATACATGTATCTTCTACTTTACCAGCATACATGTATCTTCTACTTTACCAGCATACATGTATCTTCTACTTTACCAGCATACATGTATCTTCTACTTTACCAGCATACATGTATCTTATACTTTACCAGCATACATGTATCTTCTACTTTACCAGCATACATGTATCTTCTACTTTACCAGCATACATGTATCTTATACTTTACCAGCATACATGTATCTTCTACTTTACTAGCATACATTATCTTCTACTTTACTAGCATACATTATCTTCTACTTTACTAGCATACATTATCTTCTACTTTACCAGCATACATGTATCTTCTACTTTACCAGCATACATGTATCTTCTACTTTACCAGCATACATGTATCTTCTACTTTACCAGCATACATGTATCTTCTACTTTACTAACATACATGTATCTTCTACTTTACCAGCATACATGTATCTTCTACTTTACTAGCATACATGTATCTTCTACTTTACCAGCATACATGTATCTTCTACTTTACCAGCATACATTATCTTCTACTTTACTAGCATACATTATCTTCTACTTTACCAGCATACATTATCTTCTACTTTACTAGCATACATTATCTTCTACTTTACCAGCATACATTATCTTCTACTTTACCAGCATACATTATCTTCTACTTTACCAGCATACATGTATCTTCTACTTTACCAGCATACATTATCTTCTACTTTATACAGCTACTTTACCAGCATACATCTTCTACTTTACCAGCATACATGTATCTTCTACTTTACCAGCATACATTATCTTCTACTTTACCAGCATACATGTATCTTCTACTTTACCAGCATACATGTATCTTCTACTTTACCAGCATACATTATCTTCTACTTTACCAGCACACATGTATCTTCTACTTTACCAGCATACATGTATCTTCTACTTTACCAGCATACATATCTTCTACTTTACCAGCATACATGTATCTTCTACTTTACCAGCATACATGTATCTTCTACTTTACCAGCATACATGTATCTTCTACTTTACCAGCATACATGTATCTTCTACTTTACCAGCATACATGTATCTTCTACTTTACCAGCATACATGTATCTTCTACTTTACCAGCATACATGTATCTTCTACTTTACCAGCATACATGTATCTTCTACTTTACCAGCATACATGTATCTTCTACTTTACCAGCATACATGTATCTTCTACTTTACCAGCATACATGTATCTTCTACTTTACCAGCATACATGTATCTTCTACTTTACCAGCATACATATATCTTCTACTTTACCAGCATACATGTATCTTCTACTTTACCAGCATACATGTATCTTCTACTTTACCAGCATACATGTATCTTCTACTTTACCAGCATACATGTATCTTCTACTTTACCAGCATACATGTATCTTCTACTTTACCAGCATACATGTATCTTCTACTTTACCAGCATACATTATCTTCTACTTTACCAGCATACATGTATCTTCTACTTTACCAGCATACATGTATCTTCTACTTTACCAGCATACATGTATCTTCTACTTTACCAGCATACATTATCTTCTACTTTACCAGCATACATGTATCTTCTACTTTACCAGCATACATGTATCTTCTACTTTACCAGCATACATGTATCTTTTACTTTACCAGCATACATGTATCTTCTACTTTACCAGCATACATGTATCTTCTACTTTACCAGCATACATGTATCTTCTACTTTACCAGCATACATGTATCTTCTACTTTACCAGCATACATGTATCTTATACTTTACCAGCATACATGTATCTTCTACTTTACCAGCATACATGTATCTTCTACTTTACCAGCATACATGTATCTTCTACTTTACCAGCATACATGTATCTTCTACTTTACCAGCATACATGTATCTTCTACTTTACCATACATGTATCTTCTACTTTACCAGCATACATGTATCTTCTACTTTACCAGCATACATGTATCTTCTACTTTACCAGCATACATGTATCTTCTACTTTACCAGCATACATGTATCTTCTACTTTACCAGCATACATGTATCTTCTACTTTACCAGCATACATGTATCTTCTACTTTACCAGCATACATGTATCTTCTACTTTACCAGCATACATGTATCTTCTACTTTACCAGCATACATGTATCTTCTACTTTACCAGCATACATGTATCTTCTACTTTACCAGCATACATGTATCTTCTACTTTACCAGCATACATGTATCTTCTACTTTACCAGCATACATTATCTTCTACTTTACTAGCATACATTATCTTCTACTTTACCAGCATACATGTATCTTCTACTTTACCAGCATACATGTATCTTCTACTTTACCAGCATACATGTAGCTTCTACTTTACCAGCATACATGTAGCTTCTACTTTACCAGCATACATGTATCTTTTACTTTACCAGCATACATTATCTTCTACTTTACCAGCATACATGTATCTTATACTTTACCAGCATACATGTATCTTATACTTTACCAGCATACATGTATCTTCTACTTTACCAGCATACATGTATCTTATACTTTACCAGCATACATGTATCTTATACTTTACTAGCATACATGTATCTTCTACTTTACTAGCATACATTATCTTTTACTTTACTGTCGTGAAATGATAGTCATTACACATCGGTTTGTAAGGCTGATAACCTGTCTTACCTGTAATCTGCACAAAATTCAAACTTGGACTCGCCCAGAAATATATAGTCCCTTATATCTATATATATAGGCCTGTATTGGACAACATCATTATGTCTGCCTTTTCTGGGTACTTTAACTAAACTCCACTTTTAAATGTATATCTCTTGGGGATATATTTAGGGAGTTAATTGAGGTTTCTTGGAAACCGATTTACTTCTTGCCCCAGTATACAAGGAACTTCTTTTGTACCAACGCCCGAAATGTCTAACTGACGCGATTCTCCTTGCCAGCTTCTCAAGCCTCCAGATGTGTTAATCTGTGCCTGTATACTGTCAATTTTCAAGGCAATCTGGAAATGTCTCAGTTTTTACATATGCTTGGGATGTATATTTTCTGAAGAGCTGGCAGAAGATTCACAGTCTCAACAACATCCACCCACCAATCCAACCACCAGAACCAACTTGTTACTCACCAGCTAACACCTGTGAAGGTTCCTGACATCTCCAAAAATGGGGGAGATTGTGCCTCAAACAGCTACCAGTGCCAGAGTAATGTGGCTCTAAGACATTGTGTGTCCTTACTGGTGATATAGACATGCTAGATACCAGTACAGTTACTGNCTGTCTTACCTGAAAATTGCAAAAAAATTTCAAATTGGACTCCCCCAGAAAATTATAGTCCCTTATACTATAATATGGCCCTGTTTTGGACAACATCATTGTTGCCTTTTCTGGGATTTAAAACTAAATCCATTTTTAAAGATATCTTTTGGGGGATATATTTGGGGGTTTTAATTGAGGTTTTTGGAGGCATCATAGACAGAGATAAGAGAAAAGTCTAATGCTTCGCATGATGTTGTGTTCCTCACAGCTTCCTGTGTCCAGTGATGAAAAGATGTCATCTCCAAGGCCTTCTGTCTGTGTAGATCCTAGTGATTTGGACATGATATCATGAGATCTGGCAATTGTCCCACTTTTATATATCCAATTTACATTGATTATATACATTCATTTTCATGGCTGACTTAGGTGTCTCTATTTCACCGTTTTTAAGTGTTTCGCAGTTGTGTATGTATGTGTATCTTCTTTATATGTGTTAACATGGTTATGATAATGAACTATCATAACCTGGGGGCTTTCTTTAGTAAGTAGTGGGGGTGTCCAGCCAAGTGTGCCTAGAAATAATATATATATATATATATATATTGACATATTTTGTAGTGCCAATACTTGAGTTGCCCTACTCCAGAGATAAGTTGATCGTATATTGGCCACGGGGAATCCCTTAGACCAATACGAGCCAAGCGACTCAACAAAATTATCTCTGAGTGCTGCTGGTTCTGAAGGAGAAATCCTTACATTAGGCACGCGACAGGAGTGATATGTGACATTTACTAGCATACATTATCTTCTACTTTACTAGCATACATTATCTTCTACTTTACCAGCATACATGTATCTTCTACTTTACCAGCATACATGTATCTTCTACTTTACCAGCATACATGTATCTTCTACTTTACCAGCATACATGTATCTTCTACTTTACCAACATACATGTATCTTCTACTTTACCAGCATACATGTATCTTCTACTTTACTAGCATACATGTATCTTCTACTTTACCAGCATACATTATCTTCTACTTTACCAGCACACATGTAGCTTCTATTTTACCAGCATACATGTATCTTCTACTTTACCAGCATACATTATCTTCTACTTTACCAGCATACATGTATCTTCTACTTTACCAGCATACATTTATCTTCTACTTTACCAGCATACATGAATCTTCTACTTTACCAGCATACATGTATCTTCTACTTTACCAGCATACATGTATCTTCTACTTTACTAGCATACATTATCTTCTACTTTACCAGCACACATGTATCTTCTACTTTACCAGCATACATTATCTTCTACTTTACTAGCATACATTATCTTCTACTTTACCAGCATACATGTATCTTCTACTTTACCAGCATACATGTATCTTCTACTTTACCAGCATACATGTATCTTCTACTTTACCAGCATACATGTATCTTCTACTTTACTAGCATACATGTATCTTCTACTTTACCAGCATACATGTATCTTCTACTTTACCAGCATACATGTATCTTATACTTTACCAGCATACATGTATCTTCTACTTTACCAGCATACATGTATCTTCTACTTTACCAGCATACATGTATCTTCTACTTTACCAGCATACATGTATC